TTATCCAGAAGATTCTCCAGTGTCTCCTTCAACAGAATGGATTACTTTTCCTTCCTTTGGGATCCTCCTGGGATCTGATGGCACAATGGACCCCAAAACATCTTTTCCCGCTGGGGCTAAAATATCTGGAAGTTTGCCTGAAGACAGACCTCAGTCTGGTGCTTGGGGAAGGACTAAAAAAAAAGAGGGCTGCTGCAGGGCAACATCTGATGGACTAAGTACGGGACAATTAACCAGTGGAACAGCTTGCCACCAGAAGTCGTGGGTGCTTCATCACTGGAGCTTTTTAAGAAGAGACTGGACAGTCACTTGCGCAAATGGGGATCACAGGACCAGGGACACTAAGACGGTCGTAAGGGTGAGTCGGCTGCAGGAATGCCTAGTCTAAGGAAGAGAAGGACGAGGGGGGACAGGATAGCAGTGTTCCAATATCTCAGGGGCTGCCTCAAAGAAGAGGCAGTCAAGCTATTTTCCAAAGCACCTGAAGGCAGGACAAGAAGCAACGGATGGAAACTAACCAAGGAGAGAAGCAACCTAGAACTAAGGAGAAACTTCCTGACAGTGAGAACAATTAACCAGTGGAACCAGCTGCCTCCAGAAGCGGTGAATGCTCCAATGTTGGAAGTTTTTAAGAAGAGACTGGACAGCCATTTGTCCGAAATGGTGTAGGGCTTCCTGCCTGAGCAGGGGGTTGGACTAGATGATCGCCAAGGTCCCTTCCAACTCTATTATTCTGTTAATTTGCCAGTGGAATGGCTAGTAGTATTACAATAATTGAGGGGCGGCCGCCAAGAAGACGTACGTGTGTGTGTGTGTGTGTGTGTGTGTGTGTGTGTTGTGTGTGTGTGTGTGTGTGTGTGTGTGTGAACTTATTTTCCAAAGCCTCTGAAGGCAGGACAAGAAGCAACGGATGGAAACTCATCAAGGAGAGAAGCAACCTAGAACTAAGGAGAAACTTCCTGACACTGAGGACAATCAACCAGTGGAATGTCTTGCCTCCAGAAGTTCTGGGTGCTCCATCACTGGAGATTTTTCAAGAAGAGACCGGACAGCCATTTGTTTGGGATTGTAGAGGGTCTTCTGCCTGAGCAGGGGGGGGTCGGACTAGAGGACCTCCGAGGTCCCTTCCAACTGTGATATTTTGATTTACTGCCTCTTGAGCGATGCCCATGCCCAGAACCACTGCGATGGCCCCAGATAAGGTGGCTGTGCTCAGCACTCGCTTCGGCAGTAAACAAGAGCAGCTGATCCCGCAACCTGCTCAAAGTAGGATGTGATATAATCACCTCTGCAAGCGCCCTCAGGATCCACCCGACAAAGATTAGCCAGATCCGTCTCTCCGCATGCAAAATAACACACACCCCCTCACCCGTTTTTAATAGGCGGTGGAACAAGGCTAACAAAGTGGGATGACTCAAGCCGAGCCGTTAAATCTGAGCCGGGCTCCCCCGCCTGTCGTCAGGCAGAGCTGCAGGACTTAACTTTGATTGGAGCCTTTATTTATTTATAATGGCTTCGGCCTGCTTTTCATTAAAAGTAATCCCAAACGAGGCACAATTAAGCAGGCCCGCGCCATAAAGAGAGCGGCCGGAACGAGGATGATGAGGACGGCAATATTGCCAGGAAAGGGAGAGAGAAGCAAGCCCAGCCCTGGGCAGAGAAATGCGCTGTCAGCTGGCGCAGAAAAGCAGCGGGATGGAGGAGCACTAGAATGACAGCATAACACAGCCAGGAGGGACCTCAGAGGTCATCTAGCCCGACCCTCTGCTCAAGCAGGAGACCCTATACAGTTTGAGATAAGTGAACTGTCCAGTCTCTCCTGCCTGAGCAGAGAGTTGGTGTCAACGCTGCAAATATTGTATATTCTAGCTTTTGACAATATGCAGAATTGTCTGGTATTTATGGGGTTAATACAGAGCAGAAGGGGGGTTGGGGGTAAAGCCCGGGAAAGAAAGAGGAAGAAAACCTTTGACCTTCACACTAATTGGATAATGTGAGATATGAGGGCTAATTTAGGGAGGGAACATGCTGATAATTTTACTGCTCAGAGGAAGAGAACTTAGATCCTAGCATCCCTCCGTTGTGCCTGTGCCGACATTTTGTAACACTAAAAGACTTTTAGGAAAATCAATGCCTGGAAGTTCTTTGGAATGTTTCATTATTTATTTATGAGACTTATATACCGCTTTAAGTGCAAGCACTCTCTAAGCGGTGTACACCAGTAAGCAATGTATATATATATATATTTACATTGCCCCCAACGATCTGGGTCCTCATTTTACCTACCCCGGAAGGATGGAAGGCTGAGTCAACCTTGAGCTGGTGAGATTTGAACCGCTGACCTGCTGAACCGGGTCAGCTAAAGTGGCCTGCAGTACTGCACTCTAACTGCTGCGCCACCTCGGCTCTAGCCGGAACCACAATAGTTAGACTAGAAGACCTCCACGGTCCCTTCCAACTCTGTTATTCTGTAAAGCAGTGGTTCTCAACCTTTTTAATGCCGCGACCCCCCCCAACCAGTTGTAAGTCAAGGACTACTCAACCAGTCGTAAGTCGAGGACTACTCAACTGGTGCAGCACCGTTTGCAGACTGGGGCTTTTGGCGGGCTCAGCAGGGCAGAGACAGCCTGGACAATTCCTATTGGATTTTGAAAGCCAATAGAATTACACTCTATTCAAGAGAGTCTATTCTATTGGCTTTCAAAAGCCAATAGAATAAAAGGGAGTAGCACAGCTAAGGAAAAGGGGGGGGAAAATGGCGGATTGCGTTGTTTGGCGACCCCCATGAAATGGTCGTTCGACCCCAAATGGGGTCCCGACCCACAGGTGGAGAACCACTGCTTGAGCAGGGGGTTGGACTAGATGATCTCTGAGGTTCCCTCCTCACTCTGTTATTCTGATCAGAAAACAGAAGGGAAAGAAGACAAAGGGTCCCTTCCAGCCAAGCTGGCACATCCTTCTTCTGGAATGTAAAGAATGTGCTGTCCTCAGCAAATTGATTCTGTTTATTGTGCAACATGCTTTTTCTCATGCTGGAGACCAGGCAAATACTTCAGTTCTCTTAATTCTGTCACATCCTCAAGACGACTAACGTCGTCGCCCTAATGTTCTCCCAGACAAATATCCACAAAATTTGAGGGGCGATTCATCGCGATGACCGCAGGCGGGTCCTTGACTTACCAACTCCCACCGGCCCAGCAAGGTGCTTCTTAAGGGACTCGTGTCCCGTTTTAAGACCTTTGACGCCACCGTCGTTGTGCAAGTCGCAGTAGTTGTTAAGGGAGTCCTGCTTTCGTGAAACGAAACTGGGTTTTTCCCCTACCGACTTTGCGTGTCCAAAGTCGGCTGGGAAGGTGGCCGAACTGGGGACCCCGGGATGCCACAACGTTTGCAAATACAAAGTGGTTGCTAAGGTGCCGAATTTGGATTGCGTTGTCTGTGTGGGGTTTCTGAGAATGTCGCTAAGGGCAAGGAACGGTTCTAAGTTCTGACTTCAAACGGTCGCTCAATGGATGGTTATACGGTAAGCTGAGAATCAGCTCCAATGATTGGTGAGTTTCACTCACCGGGGGACACGATCAGAAAGAGGGGCGCCCTGCGATTTGAAGACACCCAGATCTTCCGCCTTCCCCTTCCAGTTAATAGCAGGCTAAGAGGCGAATCAAACCACCAACATCTGGTGCCCAAATCCGAGATCAGCAACAGACAGAAAGTGGTCGGGGGGGGGGGCAGAATTAATTGTTCCTCTAATGATTGGAAACTGATCAAGGAGAGAAGCCACTTGGAATTAAGGAGAAAGTTCCTGACAGTGAGGAAAATTTTCCGGTGGAACAGCCTGCCACCAGAAATCGTGGGCGCTCCATCACTGGAGGTTTTTAAGAAGAGACTAGACAATCACCTGTGTGAGATGGTATAGATGCTCCTGCTTGAGCAGGGGGCTGGACTAGAAGACCTCCAAGGTCCCTTCCAGCTCCTATTCTATTCTATTCTATTCTATTCTATTCTATTCTACAATTTCTATTCTATTCTATTCTATCCATTTGCTATTCTGTTCTGTTCTGTTCCATTCTATTCTATTCTATCAATTTTCTATTCTATTCTATTCTGTTCTGTTCTGTTCTGTTCCGTTCTATTCTATTCCTAATTCTATTCCTAATTCTAGTTCTATTTCTATTTCTAATTCTACTCTATTCAAGGAGAAAAGCAACCTGGAACTAAGGAGAAACTTCCTGACAGTGAGAACAATTACCCAGTGGAACCACCTGCCTCCAGAAGCGGTGAATGCTCCAACACTGGAAGTTTTTAAGAAGAGACTGGACAGCCATTTGTCTGAAATGGTATAGGGTTTCCTGCCTGAGCAGGGGGTTGGACTAGATGACCTCCAAGGTCCCTTCTAACTTTATCATCATCATCATCATCATCATCATCATCATCATCATCATCTTATGGATCATCGCACAGTCAGCCAGATGTTCAGACTGGATTTGGCATTTTGTCTACCTATCGAGTCCTTACCCAGGACCTGGGATAGGCAGATGTGGATGTTTGATGGTATTACAGATATCGTCGCAGGATGGAAGCAGTTCCTAATAAGGCCGCCTTTTGCAATTGACTAATAGCAAATTTGTCAATGCCAACGGTGTTCAAGTGGTGCTCCAGTTGTTTTGGGATTGCACCCAAGGAGCCTATGACTCATCATCACCTTGTTGTTGTTGTTATTATTATTACTATTATTATTATTATGTCTTGTGGATATCATTTCCCAGAATTGTGGACTTTAAGACACAAGTCTTAAAGTTGCCAAGCTTGAACACCCCTGTACTAAGTGAAGAAGCCTCCTCGCACTCCACGGAAGATAGTGGAGACACCTCACTTCTCCATTGCACGATGCTTCAAGCAAAGGGGCTCTACAGCCTTGGGCTTGCAAGGCCCAGCCAGGGAGGAGTGGCACGTTGAAAGGGAGTTGAATCCATGGTGTCCCCCCCCACCCCCATCCTCACCTTCTCTCCCAAGGGACAGTAGCCCTTCAGAAACTCCGGACAGACCTCTGCTTTCCTGGACACGTAGACATGGCTGTAGGGACAGTCGCTGTTGCTGCAAATTCCCCTCAGGAAGTAGGAACAGACGGGCATCTAAAAGAGAGGAGCAAAGAGAAGAAAAAAAATCAGTGAGGATCTTCCGCGAGTCAGAAAAAAAAACAACCAACCCAAACCCAAGTGAGAATGTCGCTCTACACTGCACCACTGAGGAACGGTGCTACTGCACCATAGGAAAATACAGAATAACAGAGTTGGAAGGGACGTTGGAGGTCATCTAGTCCAACCCCCTGCTCAGGCAGGAAACCCTACGCCATTTCAGACAAATGGCTGTCCAGTCTCTTCTTAAAAACTTCCAGTGTTGGAGCATTCACCGCTTCTGGAGGCAGGTTGCTGGAATTGGGGATGTCTAGTTTAATGAAGAGAAGGACCAGGGGAGACAGGATAGCAGCATTCCAGTATCTCAGGGGCTGTCCCAAAGAAGAGGGAGTCAAGCTATTCTCCAAAGCGCCTGAAGGCAGGACAAGAAGCAACGAATGGAAACTCACCAAGGAGAGAAGCAACCTAGAACTAAGGAGAAACTTCCTGACAGTGAGAACAATTAAGCAGTGGAACCACCTGCCTCCAGAAGCGGTGAATGCTCCAACTCTGGAGGTTTTTAAGAAGAGACTGGACAGCCATTTGTATGGAATGGTCTAGGGTTTCCTGCTTGAGCAGGGGGTTGGACTAGATGACCTCCAAGGTCCGAGCAGTACCAGGGGGGACAGGATAGCAGAGTTCCAGTATCTCAGGGGCTGCCCCAAAGAAGAGGGAGTCAAGCTATTCTCCAAAGCCTCTGAAGGCAGGTCAAGAAGCAACAGATGGAGACTAATCAAGGAGAGAAGTAACCTGGAATTAAGGAGAAATTTCCTGACAGTGAGGACAATTAACCAGTGGAACAGCCTGCCTCCAGAAGTTGTGGGTCCTCCATGACTGGAGCTCTTGAAGAAGAGACTGGACAGCCATTTATCCGGAATGGTGTAAAGACTTACAACCACAATCGAGAGACCAACATTTATGTTGCTAAGTGAGACATTTGTTAAGTGAGCTTCGCCCCATTTTACGACTTTTCTTGACACGTTTGTTAAGGGAATCACCACTTTTTCTTAAATGAGTAACCCGGGTTTTAAGTGAAACTGGCTTCCACCCTTGACTTGACTTGTCTGAAGGTCACAAAAGAGAATCGCACGACCCCGGCACTCTGCATGCGTCGTAAGTGCGAGTCAATTGCCAAGTGCCCGCGTTTGGCTCACGGAACCGTGGAGGATGCTGCAAACGATCATTAAGCGTAACCAAATGGCCCTCAGTCGCTTTCTTCAGGGCTATCGTAACTTTGAAACGGTCCCTAAGCGAGTCGCCCTAAGCCGAGGACGGCCTGCCGTGTGAGAAGGGAGGGGATGGGGAGGGAAGAGCCAGCCAGAAGGCTAAAAGCCGGGCCAGGAAACAAAGAGAGTTTTTTTGAAGAAAGCAAAAGAGTTTATTTTTAATTGTCTTTTAACTGCGGGCTATTCAAATGAAGGAGAGGGCTCCAGGGCTCTCTTGGCGATTCGGCCGTGGCTGTGGCCGTCCGCGGACGCCTTTAATGCAGATTTTGATAGAGCCATCAAATTAGCTCTAATAAAAAGGGGATAATAAAGCCCCCCCCCTTCCCACCCCACCACTGCAGGACTCGGACCCTCCGAGCGGTGCGCGTTTCTCCTTTCAATTAACCTCGTCTGCACCCTGCTAACGTCCGTTGCAAATAACGGGAACATTTAATGCAAAGCGCTCGCGCGCGCCGCGCCCGTATTAGGCCGCTCCGGCGAGGCGCCCGCCCCTCCGCCAGCCGGCGGCTAATGAACCCGAAAAGCGGCACGTGAAATTTCCAAATTGCTCACCACAGAATTTTGAAGCTCTATTAAGGGGGAAAAATGCTGAGTCTCGTTCAGTCCCTCAAGGGGAAAAGCTGTTGCAACAGCAGCCTCGGCTCGCCCCCAAAAGCCCAGCCTGCCACTAACCTTGGTCTCCCAACACAGCCATCGGGATGAGGGGGTGGGAGGCCCTGGGGGCCCCGGGGCCCACCCAGGCGGCAGCCCCACCATGCACTCTCCTTCTCCGAGTCCCCAGCTAGAGGAAATTTTAGGAATGGACCCCCCCTTATCCCCAATTGCGATGAGGAGGTCCATCCAGCATTGAGGCCCCCAGCTCAGCAGGTCGAAGGAGTGAAATTGGGGAAGGGGCTACCAAACCTTCTGGGCGAGCTGGGATCCTGCAGCCCTCTCTAAGAGGTGGATTTTCTTGTCCAAAGATGGCTAGTTTTTCTCCTGGAGGGTCTCAGATGTTTAAGAGGTGAATGAAAGAGAGCGGTTGGGGAGAGTTAGCAATTAAAAGGAAGCAGAGGCTGGCAAAGATTCTAGCTTGTCGAATTCTCGAGGACTATCTGTCCTGTTTTCAATCAGTCCATCATTAACACTGAGAGTCGTTAAAACCACCTAGGTAGTAGTAGTAGTAGTAATAATAATAATAATAATGCAAAAGGCGGCCTTATTAGGAACCGCTTCCATCCTGTGACGATATCTGTAATACCATCAAACATCCACATCTGCCTATCCCAGGTTCTGGGTAAGGACTCGATAGGTAGACAAAATGCCAAATCCAGTCTGAACATCTGGCTGACTGTGCGATGATCCATAATAATAATAATACAGTTGGAAGGGACCTTGGAAGTCATCTAGTCCAACCCCCTGCTCAGGCAGGAAACCCTATACCATTTCAGACAAATGGCTGTCCAGTCTCTTCTTAAAAACTTCCAGTGTTGGAGCATTCACCGCTTCTGGAGGCAGGTGGTTCCACGGGTTAATTGTTCCCACTGTCAGGAAGTTTCTCCTTAGTTCTAGGTTGCTTCTCTTTGGTTAGTTTCCATCCGTTGCTTCTTCTCCTACCTTTGGGGGCTTTGGAGAATAGCTTGACTCCCTCTTCTTTGGGACAGCCCCTCAGATACTGGAATAATTGCTATTTATGTCCCTCCCCCCCCGCTCCCCCCCATTCTGCTTTTCTCCAGACTGGCCATACCTCATTCATGCAATCATTCTTCAAGTGTTTTAACCTCCAGTCCTCGAATCATCTGTTTTTCAGCCTCCAGCTCCCTAAATCTTCTTTGTTGCTCTTCTCTGCCCTCTTTCCAGAGTCTCAACATCTTTTTCTATATCAAGGCTAGAATCAAGATCAGGTGAAGTGTTAATACCACTTTACAAGGCCTTGGTAAGGCCACACTTGGAATACGGCATCCAGTTTTGGTCACCAAGATGTAAAAAAGATGTTGAGACTCTGGAAAGAGTGCAGAGAAGAGCAACAAAGATGATCAGGGGACTGGAGGCTAAAACTTATGAAGAACGGTTGCTGGAATTGGGTATGTCTAGTTTAACAAAGAGAAGGACGAGGGGGGGACATAATAGCAGTCTTCTAGTATCTCAGGGGCTGCCCCAAAGAAGAGGGAGTCAAGCTATTCTCCAAGGCGCCTGAAAGGAGGACAAGAAGTAACGGATGGAAACACATCAAGGAGAAAAGCAACCTGGAACTAAGGAGAAACTTCCTGACAGTGAGGACAATTAACCAATAGAACAACCTGCCTCCAGAAGTACTGAATGCTCCCACACTGGAAGTTTTTAAGAAGAGATTGGACAACCATTTGTCTGAAATGGTCTTGGGTTTCCTGCCTGAGCAGGGAGTTGGACTAGATGACCTCCAAGGTCCCTTCCAACTTTATTATTATTAAGGCGAGCAAAACTGGATGCAGCATTCCAGATTTGGTCTCACCAAGGGTTTGTAAAGCGGTGCTAGAATGTCACGTGATCTTGATTCTGCTCCTCTATTAAAGTTGATTTATGCGGCACCTTAGGTATGAAAGCAATTCTGAGCCAATGGCCAGGAGACGGTGAGTTCTAGTCCTGCCTTGGGCATGAAAGCTGAGTGGGTGACTTTGGGCCAATGGCCAGGAGACGGTGAGTTCTAGTCCCACCTTGGGCATGAAAGCTGAGTGGGTGACTTTGGGCCAATGGCCAGGAGACGGTGAGTTCTAGTCCCGCCTTGGGCATGAAAGCTGAGTGGATGACTTTGGGCCAATGGCCAGGAGACGGTGAGTTCTAGTCCCGCCTTGGGCATGAAAGCTGAGTGGGTGACTTTGGGCCAATGGCCAGGAGATGGTGAGTTCTGGTCCCGCCTTGGGCATGAAAGCTGAGTGGGTGACTTTGGGCCAATGGCCAGGAGATGGTGAGTTCTAGTCCCGCCTTGGGCATAAAAGCTAAGTGGGTGACTTTGGGCCAATCGCCAGGAGACGGTGAGTTCTAGTCACTTTAGCAACAGAAATGTTTTATTTATTTATTTATGAGACTTATATACCGCTTTAAGTGCAAGCACTCTCTAAGCGGTGTACACCAGTAAGCGATGTATATATATATTTACGTTGCCCCCAACAATCTGGGTCCTCATTTTACCTACCCCGGAAGGATGGAAGGCTGAGTCAACCTTGAGCCGGTGAGATTTGAACCGCTGACCTGCTGAACACAGTCAGCTCAAGTGGCCTGCAGTACTGCACTCTTAACTGCTGCACCACCTCGGCTCAATTGTGCTCGCACGGCGAGGGCTACCTGTATTTATCATGTGATCCTCAACCGGGGTTGTTTAAGTGAGGGGTTAGGGTTAGGAGGAGGACTGTGGGGTCCTTGGTGCTCTCTGAGCTGGGTGGTTTTCTTCCAGACGTTTCATTGCCCAAACTAGGTCATATCATCAGTGCTAGAAGGGAGGGGGCAGTCTGGAGAGGAGGAGGAGGAGGAGGAGGAGGAGGGGTCCTGGAGAAGAAGACCAGAGATGAGGGGTTAGGGTTGGTACTCTCTGAGCTTGGTGGTTTTGTTGCAGACATTTCATGACCCAAGTAGGCAACATCATCAGTGCTAGAAGGGAGGAGAGTTTGTAAAGAGGAGGAGTAGGGAGGAAGACGATTGTGGGGTCCTGGGTGCCTCTTGGTTGTTTGCTTGCAGATGTTCATTACTCAACTAGGCAATATCATCACTGTTAGAAGG